TGCCAAGCAGAATTAAATTTCTGAGGCTCCTCATTAAAAGGAAATGGTGGGTACCCTTTACCTAAGACCTAAGAGAGAAAGAACCCTCTGGGCATGGAACCACCATCGCTTCTCACACTGGCTGGATGGTTTGTAATGCAGCCATGCTTACCATCCCTGCCTACTAACTGGAACCTCCATGTTAAGAAGCACTATTCCTAGGTATCGTTTTTTTATTTTTTTTATTTTTATTTTTATTTTTGCAAAACGGAGTCATCTCTTGGTCTTTCAGATATGTTGGACTCCAGCAGCCACATTCAAACAATTCTGATTGGCAAAGACTGGGCCAAAATATCCCTAAGCTCTCCTTCTTTGTAGATTTGGAGCTGATTTATGCTCAGGGCTAGGAGGATGAGTTTTGAATCTTTGGAAAAACATACCATTTGGACCAGACAGAGAAAACGTGTAGCTCAATCAGTTAAGACACTAGCAGATGACTTCCCATTAAGGGCTAATTTTAACTAGTTTAGATTTAAATATTTTTTTCTTTTCTTCCCCCCCCCCCCCCAACACTTTATTGGGTTTTTCCATTTATACATTACTAATTGAACAATACTGTGACAATATATACATACATTTATATATCCTATCCAATCTTTCAATACACACTACTTCCATACCCTCATAACTATTATACATTATTTACATTTTCTATTCTGTCTATTGTCAATCCAGATATACCATGTTTCCCATATTGCATTGTATTCCATGTCAGCTTTCCCTTTTAGTTCCATAGTTAATTTATCCATTTCCACGCACTCGAGTATTTTTTTTTAATTATTAAACCTTCGGGAGGTATGGCATTTTTCTTCCAGTACTGTGTGTAGGAAATTCTAGCTGCTGTTATTACATGTAATATGAGATATTTTATCTTTCTGTTATAGTTTCAATTATTTAATTTAAATTGTCTATGTGTTGGGTGAGACCAGCCCCTCTGGTTAGTTTATGGCTTCATGGATTGTGCAATTCCAGAAAATGATCAAACTCTGGAGTTAGATTACACACTGTATGCATGTCAGTTCCTGCAGCGTGAACATTATCACTCTACCTTCAACAGTGAAGGAGGAGAGGTTATCCCCAGCCCAGTTGGGATATGGGAACGTCTTAGGTTGGCTCGACCTACCACTGGCTGCCTCTCAGCCTGCAGATCACACACATGTAGAATTATGTACATGTCTGTACGTGCAAATGTGCTTGAAAAGTTGTTGTGTTGATGGGCTGAAGATTCAACCAACAAGGCAGACAGCCTCAGGACTGGAGTCAGGTTGTTTTGTATGAAAATCGTTCTTAGGTGCAAATTGTGGTTTTTAAACATTTTCTCCTTCAGCTGTCAACACAGTATTGTCTGAATTGTGTTTGCCAGCACTTAAAAAAATGAAGCATCCAATAAAAATCTTGCTACTTTTAAAATTAGATCTTGGAGCCTTTCTCCTAGTGCTCAGAAGTTCTTAAAAACGTTCTGTCCCTCTAGCTGATTTTACCCGTTAGACAGACTTGGATTTCCTGTGGGAGTGGATCAAGAGAAAGAATAAAGAAGGAAAATACATACTCTAGGTCAAGAGTTGGGTTTCCTTGTTTCTGTTTCCCTCTATTGTTGTCAGATAACTTTCCTTTCTCCCTCCTTCCTTCCTTCCCTACCTGTCATTTCCTTCCTTCCTTCCTTCCTTCCTTCCTTCCTTCCTTCCTTCCTTCCTTCCTTCCTTCCTTCCTTCCTTCCTTCCTTCCTTCCTTCCTTCCTTCCTTGTCAACTGCAATAGAAACAAAAGGCATTTTGTGACTGGACACTACACATGATACAAATCTTCAGTTCTTTCAAATTTTCTAGCATAGGTTTGGGTGTGTTGCCTGAAGCCAGCTAACTGTGTTTGATTCTGTGCATTGTGCGTAGGCCCTTCCTGGCACTGAGTAATGTGTAAATTGCACCTTCTTTGAGTATCACACACACACACACATACCCCTGTGGCTAAAATAACCAGGAATCATGCCGTTCTGAACGGTGAACTGAGTTTGAATTGAACTGAAGTTAGGACTTCTATATATTTTGTCTTGAATAAGCTGTCTCTCCTTCCAACAATTTTTCAGAGCACATAAAGCATATAACTCTAAATTGGAGTTTAAGTTTGTTGAATAAACCCCAGTGTTTTGTCTTCATTTCTTGGGATAGCCATATATTGTAAATATTTTTTTTTACAAAGCACAGTTTACAAAGCACAGTAGCAAAGCTCATACACTCAACCAAAGTCCCTATGATGGCTTGGCCCGATGTCCAAGCCAAAGAACAACAAAAGCAGGTTTCCAGGACAGCGGATCGCTGCTTCCCATACATCACCGCAATTTAGAAATACTGTGTCGGTTCCTTTTCTTTTAATAACCCGTGGTGAGGGAGTTGGGAACGGGGAAAAAAACTTTCAGTCCCGAAGCGGATGTTCAATAACTGAGAAATATCAGCCGAGAGTCGTAATGGTAAGGAGGTTAAGACTATATTGCCTCTCTAGGCACTTTTCTGGGATGGTCGAATGTGTAAATGGGACTTTTCTCCAAAGTTGGTTGGGCACCAGAAATGATTTAAGGAAAAGAAAGGAATCCCTGCGGATTTTACTCCGCTGGTCGCCGCCGACAATGACGTCGGGTATTTTGAACCTCCAGGCGCAATTTCGTTGACAAGCTGTTGAATTCAATGGTGGGAGGAAGGAGTGTGTGTGATGCTTAATACTGAGATAAGGAAGAAAAAGGCTCCCCAGGCAAACAAACCCCATTCGCGCAACGTGGTGATAAATAAACAACGCACATTTTTAACTTTGGTTGTTTTGGGGGGAGGGGGCTTAGTGTGTTGTCCTAACCCAGCCTGTTTGTAGGGTAGTAGCGATTCTTTAGTGTATCTTGCCAATCCACGTATTGGGTTAATTGACTTCCCAAAGCAAGTTTGTTTTATTTATAATAAACTTATATTTGCCATTTCTACGGGTGCTCTATGGCAGGGGTCTCCAACCTTGGCAAGTTTAAGCCTGGATGACTTCAATTCCCAGAATTCCCCAGCCAGCTTTGAATTCTGGGAGTTGAAGTCCTCCAGGCTTAAACTTGCCAAGGTTGGAGACCCCTGCTCTATGGGACTATTGGCCGCTCATTCAGGTCATTTAAAACATCATTAAAAAGTTAAAACAGTTAATAGCGGGTGGTGTGAACCCCACCTAAGTTTGAGAAAGGCTTCAAGCTCCCTAAAGCGGTGCGATCCTCCACTCTCAGCCCCGGGCGAGAAGCGCAGCAGCCAATGGCTTGTCAGTGTCACTAGCTTCGCGCAGGGAACCGGCTTTGTCCCAGAATTGCTCTGAGAAGCTGGGCGGAATCGAACCGTGGCTCTGGATCTTTTCTTCGCCATGGAAGAAGCAGGAGGGCGGTTTTGTCCCCCCTTGTGCCGAGTAAGGTTAAAACCCCATCCCTTCGCCTGTCTCCTCCACCGCCACCCCTTGTCCTTCAACCCCGGAGCCGAACCTCGGGGCTCTACCTGCTTGAAGGCTGGTTCCCAAGGCGGACGCGTTTTCCGGGTATGAATCCAGCTGGATCTGCAGGCCAAAGGGGACGATTTTTCTACCCCTTTTAGCCCGGCGCTTCTTTTCTTGGCGGCGAAGTAATTGAGAAACTGAGAAACAGGCGCGGACCAAAAAGTGCTTTGTCCTTCATACCAACGCCTGCGTGACTGGAAAAAGAGGCAGGGGGCGGAGGGCATGTGTGTGTGTGTGGCGGGGTGTGTGTGTGTGTTAATGCGCTGTCAAATTGAAGGAAAGTGACCAGAAATCATTAACGTACTTTTCAGATCTTGGGAAAGGAGCCGTCCCTGTTTGAAAACGCCACGTTCTCGCACGGCCAGAGTGAAGCAATGACTTGGGTAGGGGGGCGGCTCGGATGGAGGGGTGGGAATCGGAGGTGCTTAGCAGGTATACCCAAGGAACAAACCTGCTAAATGCGGGGGGAGGAAGGAGCAATTTGTTCCTTGGCTTTTTTTTTTTTTTGTTTAATATTATTTATTTATTTTTTGCGGACCCCAGCAAAGGAAATCTGCGGGCAATTCTCCGCCAGGGGTGATTTACAGCCAAAGCCGACCAATAAATAAATCGTCCCTTCAAGTTCCTGTTTAAGCGTGCAGTCAGGAAGCTTCCTTTCGTTCCCTGCCTGATCCGAGAGATGCAGCTGGGAGCATCACGGGCGTGTTTACCCGAGAGAAGGTCGCGGCAATCTACGCCTTCCTGTTCGCAACTCCTTCCTTGCCTCCCGAGCGTTTTCCACCGCGTTCAATCTCACCACGTCCCAAATCCATTGCAAATAAATAAGCGTAGCCTCGCAGCACAAGCGCTCAGCGGGGAAGGGGAGCCCTGGCCGTCGATCCTTTTTTTTTTTTTCCCCCTTCTCCCTGGGTTGGCTTTCGGAGCGGATCGCAGGGGCTGAAGGCGCCGCACACCTTGGGGGGCAACCCTGAAGACTAATCCGGCGCGCGTGGCAGCCGAGTGGGAGCGCTCTTCCGCCCTCCTGCCTCCCCCAAAAGGCACGCGCACTGGCAGCTTCGGCTCCCGGAGTGCGCTCTGTCTCTTTAAGGCGCGCTCCCGGCCCTCGGCGCGCGCCCCCGCCTGTATAACTGGAGTCCATGGAGTTGTATTGAGTTCAGAGGGAGGAAGAGCTGGGAGCCAAGCGCAGGCTTCGAAGGGGAAAAGGTCGGGCGGGGGTGGGGGGTGTTTGAAAAGGAGGAGCCGCGCTGCCCGTCCAGAGCTCGGTTGGCTGCGCGCTGGAAGAGCCCCCCGCCGATGGACGCGCCGCCGCCGCCGCTCGCCGCTCGCTTTTAACGGATACTTTTCCTGGGGGTGGCACCGGGCGCAGATTCTGGTGGCCGTCGGGGTTACTCGCCCCGTTCCCTCTCGCCCCCCGTTTGGAGGCCTTTCCCTCGAGGGTCTGGGGCTTTGGCTAGGGCGCAGATGTTGGTGCACACGTATTCCGCGATGGTGAGTTGGGTTGAGGAAGGGAGGGGGGGGTCCCTCGGTCGGGTGTGCCTGGATGCGCGGGGGGACGCGTTTAAGAAAGAAGCGAGGAAGAGGAAGAGCGAAGTTTCCTTCGAAAAGCCACTGAATGGAAGCCGCCCCCGCAGCTTCGGATTCAGAGGGACTTCGCGTTTGAACGGGTCCCAGAGGTCTCGGGGCTGGGGAAACCTTCCCCTAGCTGATGGTTCAAACTCTCTTCCCCCCCGACCCCCAGGTTGGGAAGGAGGGGAGCGCAGAGAATGGATCACAAAACCGGAGGGAAGCGGGGTGGGGGGTAGAGAAAAGGGCCCGAAGGAACGAAAGAGATTCTGGCGGGGTAAACCGGATTGTTTGCCCCGAAAGGCAGGGACTCCTTCCACTGGTTCTTAGTGGCAAAAGCTAGGCTGGGCATGGGAGAAGGGGTCTCTGCTGGCCTCCCCTCCTGAAGGCAGAACAAGAAGGGGGGGGCAAGCCAAGGACTCCAGGCGGGGGTCCCCCAAAATGCGCTCCCAAAGCCAGCAAGGCGACCCCACAAAAGGGCGCCTGGTTTGGTTTTGCTCGGTTGCGCCTTCCTGAACTCTTGTTCAGCGGCCAAGTTTTTTTTTTTTTTTTTTGCCTGCTCCGGGCTCCAGGCTAGACGAAGAGGGCAGGAAGCGCAAGGTTCGCCCTTAGGAAGGAAGACGGAGCCCCGCCGAGTCCCCGAAGCGCGCTGCGCTCTTCTTGGCTTGCCCGGGGGAGAAGGCGAGGAGCGGGGCCTCGGCTGGGCCAGAGGTGGCTGCTGTGCCTTGCCTTGAGGCTCAGGTGCTGCGAGCCGGGGCCTCAGGGAGCCGCCGCCACCGGGGAGCCCTTGGCGATGCGCGCTGCTCTGAGCGAGGGAAAGCTTTCCTTTCTTTCCTTCTTTCTCTTTCTTTCTTTCTCTTTCCTTCCTTCCTTCCTTCCTTCCTTCCTTCCTTCCTTCCTTCCTTCCTTCCTTCCTCCCTCCCTCCCTCCCTCTCTCTCTCTCTCTCTCTCTCTTTCTTTCTTTCCTTCCTTCCTTCCTTCCTTCCTTCCTTCCTTCCTTCCTTCCTTCCTCTTTCTTTCTTTCTTTCTTTCTTTCTTTCTTTCTTTCTTTCTTTC